GCTCTTCCAAAGCTCAGCTCAACTAAGTGGGTTTTTTTGGTTTTTGTTTTTTTTTTTTCTTTGTTTTTCAGCCTCCTCTTGTGGTTGGAACCCCGACTAGGAATATCTCCAGCTGGGATCCAATTAGCTTACCATTTAGCGTCAAATCTGCTCGGTAGCGGCCCGGCCCCAGCACGGCTGTACAATTAACAACTCGGCCAAGAAGCTACGGCGCTATTGAGTTCTCCAAAGTTGGCTTCCCAGCTGCAGCACGGTATTATTTATCAGCTAAATGAACCAACAGTATTTTTGCAGGCGGGGGAAAAAAACCCAAAAAAACAAGCCAACAACAACAAAAAAAAAAACAACACAAAAAAACCCCCAAAAAACACAATCAGGAAACAATTTGCTGCTAACGAGCAGAGCGCTCTGGAAGGGAGAACCGCAAGACGTGTAGAAATTCAGCCTCGACCTTGGCACGCCCCAAGGTGCTGTCCCCTCCCTGTGCCCCAACCCCCCCCCCCAGCAGCAATACCCCCCGTCCGTACGTCCCCCCGGTCCCACCTCATCCACTCCTCCCCTCAAGTTGTCCCTATTTTGCGAGGCCACCACCTCAGCAGCAGCTCTGGAATAGCATCTCTCGTTAAATATCTATTTCATCCGGTTAACGAACAGGTCGCTGGCGGCTGTTTCTCCTCAGCAGCTGCTCCCAGGGAGAGTTTGCCTGCTCTGCTCTTCATTATTATTAATTATTTTTTTTCTAATTAAGGCTGGATTGCTGCTTCTAGCTGCCCCCAGCAGCATCTGCTGGCTGAAGAGGTTCATGGCCTGCGTGGCCCACCATCACCGTTCAGGCTTTCACGGCCGCGGTGCTCCTCTTGGAGGGAGGCGGCCTGCCTGAAAGAACCACAGACCTGGTGGGATAACAACCTCCGTGCCCAAAGGCTCACCAGCACAGGCGTTGAGGTGGTGACGCCGCCCCCAGTTAGGGTGGGCGAGCCCAACCCTTCCCAAGGAGATGGTGTGGACCGCGCTATCTCCATTTCTCCCCCCACCAGCTCAAATCCTTAGAGAGACCTAAAGGGCAAGTTACTGCTCGTGTCCTCCACCTCCAGCAGCACTTTAGACGCGCTCAGCATCTCACCACCTGCTGAAGGCAACAGCTACCAGGTGCCGATGATGCCAGGTTTGAGCCCCATCTACACAAGGAGCACAGATAGTACCTACGACGACCTTGTGTCACACAAGACTCGCTCACGAGGAACCCAAGAGAGTGTTTTATGACCTGCTTACAGAGCAGCAGAAGCTGGGGCCATCTCTGCCATCAACCCAAAGCACTCATCACCTAGCCAGGGACACTGCCACACTCATCTGCAGAGACAGCCTGCCCCAGTTTTGGAGCCCATGAGGACTAGACGTGGCTCCTCAACCTTCTTCTGAGCATCCATTCACTAGTGGCTTTTTCTAATAGCAAAAGGAATTCATTGTTACTTCGTTTTCCTGTACACCCTCAGCACATCTCCACGCCACCTCTGCTTCTCCAGTCACCACCGCGTCTAACCCACCATTTGCCACCAGCGGGCTTCTCAGGTGTCAACGATGAGTGTGGTCAAGGGATTACTTTTTTTTTTCACTTTTCTTTGGGAGGAGGACTAGAACTGCTTTAATAATACAAAAAAATAACAACATTCCTCAGCTTCATCTCAAAGACACCATTTGACATCACATTTTTGTCCCATTTACAGTTCATCTGACCCTGCCTGTCCTTTTAAAGACACTTCTCAAGCAGTAACACTCAAGCAAGAAAAGCACCTCAAAAACATCTAAGTGGCATCATCTGAACCGTTTCTGTCCTGCTTCTGGGCAGCCAAAACCACCGTGCCAAGCTTCTGGCAGTCACCCTGGGGCTGGAGCTGTTTGGGCAGCAGTAGCCTCCCAGCAAGACCCAGTGCAGCAGCAGCGGTGGTGATTGGTGGTGGTGGTGGGATGAGCTCTGCTGGCACCAGGCACCCAAATTCCACCCCCCAGACCCAGAGCTGCCACCTCCTCCCAATGAAAAAAATACTCTGCACAACCCCGTTGTCTGAGCTGGACATCTCCCTACAAGATCACAAAGCTCTGAGATGACAACTCCTCCAGGCTGATACGAGCCCCATTGGCCCCCAGGGCTTACCTGGGAGCAGGTCTCCATCCAAGGGAGGTAGTGAAGCCACCAGGTGACAGCAGACATTTGGAGGGTGCTCCAAAGCAGCAGGGAGTCTTGCTAGGAGCTTCAATGGAGGAACCAAAAGCATCGTCCAGAAGCAGGAGGAGAGTTCCTTCTTACCATCCACGGGAGCTTAAGGTCAGCATGAGATGAGATGTCAGCACCGTAGGAGGACCTTACTCAATAGGCCTGTGCCAGCAGGGACTCACAGTCCCATAGTCAAACGAGTCCCTTCTGCAGGCCATGTGCCCTCAGAGAGACCTTCCCCAGGGTGTCCAATCCCAAACCCCACTCATGGAAGGCTGGGGGAGACAGCAAGGAGCCAAGCCATGCTCCTTCTACACTTCTGAAGATGACACAGTTCCTCCAGCTTCTCTCATTTGAACCGCAGCCCCCGGTGGGAAACCACCGCTTGTTGTCCAGCACAGTCCGTAACTCCCCACAACATCTCCAAAAAGCACCTTTTCCTAGAGGGGCCCCCAAATGTGGGCAGATGGTCCAGCACAAGCAAAGACAGAAGCTTTACCTGCTCCCTCACCAAATGCTCCACTCTCCCCCAGCACAGCCCCTGGGCTATTTATGGGCTCTGGATGAGGTGACGCAGCCCACCTGGCCCCACCACATGGTTCCTCCCCATGGGTCTCCTCCAAACTGCCACGGAGGGTGAAGAAAACCAGCCTCAACCCAAAGCACGCGCTGGGCCGTGCGTGTCGCTACAGCCCACCACGACCCCTGGGCAGGGGTGGGAGAGATGTGGACCTGAAGAAAGCAGGGCAAGTCACTGGGAGGACTCAAGGCGCTGGGGTTCCACCACACTCCCCTCCTACCACAGGAAATAGAGGGGGCCACAAAGCGCACGAGAGCACCCAGAGACGCAGATCCAGACACCTAACCCTTGTTTTTCAGCGTCCAATCACGGTTCAAACGCAGCAGGGAACGTCCCTGAGAGGAGGCGTGTAAAAGGAGAGCACATCACACACAGTGCAAATTTGTTTCTTTTAATATGAGACATTCTTTTACATGTAGTTGTAGCAGCGAGAAAAGTGCTTCAGAAAAAAAAAAAAAAAGAAGATACTCCAGTAAAGGCAAGCTACAGTAACGCCATCGTCCCGGTGTCTCATATACAAAAGGGCACTGCCCAATTAAGAAGAAAAGCCATTGAAAAAGTTAAAAACCAAGCAGTTGTACAGTGAAAAGTAACCGGGCTTTTTAAAATATATTTTATTTCATTATTGGAACACTTCGCGCATTCTGAAATTCTCCAAAAGGAAGAACTTTCTCGTAATATTTGACCGCAGAGCGCCTCAGGGAGGGTACTCCAGGAAGAAAGGTGGGAAGGTTTTTTGGGATTTGTTTATTTTATCATTTGAAAAGCATGGCTCCATCCTCCCTTCTCTCCCCACAATGAAATCGGATACCATTAGACCATTAGAACACCCCAAAACCACAGAAAATTGGTCCCCGCACTACTGGAGTGCTGTCACTTTAGCAAACGCCTCAGGCTCAGCCCGGTTAGACGCCCCGACGGCAATCCCGACAACGGCGCGCGCTTCACTTTGTGTACTCCACCATCGAAACACCAACCTACGCACGCGTCTAAAACCCTGCCACGCCTCGGCCTTCGCAAGCGAATGAAACAAAATGAGGAAGAAAAGGGTACAAACACGACTGCAGCTGGCACAGGAATCCGAGACCGCAGGTCGGATGGGCGGCTGGGGGAGAAGGCGCGATTTTTGGGCTGTCCGTCGCACGTACGCAGGCAGGCCCGCCTCCTTTTGAAAGGAATTCTCTATGCACATGTCAACAAATCAAAGCCAAAGGATGCGATTTCTGCGAGCTCACGCTCTCCAGCCGCTTGCAGCGACGGCTCCGAGGCCCTGGAACAAACACGTCATTTAAAAGGAACAAAACGTACTCGCGTAAGACTTTGCAGATGTCAGCTGTATGTAAAAATGCCACTCTCAAAGCTACCAATTTCCCCCCCCAACAGCTGCAGCCGGAATAGCTCTACCTCCACCTCCCGTCATTGCTCACAACCTTCAGCTGCCCCAAAACATCTTCTGCTGCGTCAGCTGCTCATTGCGCCTCATTCTGCACCTCATTAAGCTATTCTGCGAGGCTGTCTCCGCTCTGACACGGCGAACGGCGCTTGTAAAGGAATGCCCTTCTCGCTGGAAACTAACCTTCCATCGGGAATCGCGCTGCTCGGTGGGGAATTTCCTGAAGGGACTGCGCTGCGCCCCCGGTACTAGGGAGGGGGGCGCAATTAGCGCAACTCCTGGGCACCTGCGTTAATTAAATCTCATAACCATTTCACTGGTGCCACGACAAATTCAAATAAATTTTTACTGACAAGCGGGGTGTTGTTTGTTTGTTTTTTTTTTTTAAATAGATAGTCTCTTCCATGGCAGTTTTCCTGGTCCAGCTGTAGGCAGCACGTCGTCTCGGTCACTGCTCCTCCAGCGGCAGTCGGCATCTTCCATCTTGGGCGGTGTTGTACGACTCACAGTTTTTGCACTTCATGCCTAGGAGATGGAACGGCACTGTAGACCGGGCATTGCAGTCATTGCAAAGGATCTACGCACACAGAAAAAGAGAGAAAGAGAGGCTTTAGCATCAGCAGGACACGTAAAAATATACTACGGCCACAATTCTAGCACCCACTGAAACTGGTCTGCCATCAGGGGACAAAGCAGAAAACATCTTCCTTTGAAAGACAGTGGGGCCGATTTAATTTTGCTGTTTGTAACTACTCAGATCCCACTGTATAATCACAGAGAATTTACTCTTAGTATGGCAAGACGACTCCTGGCGTCAGCCAGGGATAGACACGCTTTGGCTTCTCCTCCTGATGTAGGAAACCACCAGAGAAACCCTCAAGTGAAAATGAGAGCAGATTAACAGCAGCCAGCAACACATGCCAGTCTGCCATGCAAGTGAGCACTCTTCACAGAACAGGCAGCAACGAGTTCTTTTTCCAAACATCTTGACTCCAAGAGTCGGTAGGATGGGTTGTCTAAACTGTAACAGATGCACCCAAAACATTAACGAGCAGTGCCGTTTAATTCCGTGTTAGTGGCAAACAGCAACCAGTTTCATAGTTCGGTGTTAACACATAGAAACAGGAAGAAAACAGTGATTCCCCACGGGCTATCCTTGCACAAATCAACAGCTGAATGTTCTTGCAGAAAACCCACCAGGTTTAGGCTAGAACATGAAGCTCCAAGCTGCTAAAAACCCAACGTGCCTGCTTTTTGCTATGACAGCACCTACCACTACTGGAGAAAGCAAGACGCTTCCACAGCCCAAGCCATTTCTCCGCTGTGTGGTACTACAATACTACGTGGTTGTGGTTTTTTTGGGAGTGGAGGTGGGGGCTGATTTTTGTGCATGTTTATAAATCCAGTAGATGAATACTGTAAGCCTACATGTGACGTTTATCATTCCCTAACCATCAGGCTGACGTCTGACGAAGGACAAGTTCCTAGTGCCCTCTGCTGCCAGTAACGCAAAGGCACAGATCTATGAAGAACAGGACCCGGCGCAAATATCATCTCTCACCTCCACCATCATGTTCTGATACTCTGTGGGCATAGGAGTCTGCGCTACTTCGTCATCCAGCTGACGCCAGTACCTTGTCATATCTAAAGCCGAGTGCATGCACAAAGGGCACCTGTAACCTCTGGCAGAGAGGAAAAAAAAAAAAAAAAAAAAAGCCTACATCAGATGGTGGAGTGGGACCATGAAACAAGTCAACCAAAAAGGACAAGTTTCATATCATACCAGTCGAAGAGAAACACCACAAATCAAAAAGTTCTTGCAAACAGAACTGGAAATTAAAAGCCCCTTAATTCCTTTAGGAGTTGGCTTTAAGTTATCAGGTACAGGCTTTATGATCTTTCTCTCTTCAAATCTCATGGAATCATAGAACAGTTTGGGTTGGAAGGGAGCCTAAAGATCACCCAGTTCCAACTCCCCTGCCGTGGACAGGGACACCTGTTTGTAATCGGTTTGGACTACCGCGATATTAAGACAAGAGATACTTACTCCTTTAGCATGTCCTCGTAACATGTTCTGAAAAGAAAACACAATGAGAAGGTCAGTAAGAACAATGCAAACTGACATGTTTGGACTGACAAAGGGAAAAGGCGCACAGCTATCCCCAAATCAGAAGTTAAAACGCAGTCTGAGTCCAAGTGAGAAGAAAGCTATTTGCTGTTTGCTAAATTAGGCCAAAATCCGGAGACAAAGCACGTTTGATCCCATTCTAAGGCCTTCTAACACGAGGGAACAGAGTCAATGCTATGATAAGGATTGCGTGGGTCACGTTTGCTGAAAAAAGTGTGACGCATTACAAAGTAAGTTTAAGACAGATGGACAGGAGCTGACGGAAGATTCAATCTGTGGAGACCTACATCAAACCCAGAGGCCACTCGCTTAACACACAGCGACAACAGGGAGAGGAACAAGAGAGCCAACAGAGTAACAAAAAACTGCATCTGTAACACAAGACAAACGGAAAGGGAAAAGGGAAGGGAAACGTGGTAATTATTCCTCCAGAGGTACCTGGCACTACGTACCACATCACTCTAAAATCCCTACAGAGCCGGCAGTTTTTGTACTGCAGCAGAGCACTCCGCTGTCCTGCGGGGCTGTCTAAGGAAAGACTCTAAAGCTTCATTAATGAGCTGCCACCACCCTCTTAAAACCATTGTGCAACTGCTTTCTGCACCAAAGAAGGACCTCTCTATGAGATTCTTGAAATTTAAGCGTAGCGGAAGGAAATACAGCATGGGAAAACTTAGAATGAACAGCACCTAGGTCCCTCCACCACCACCAAAATTTACTGTGAAGGAAGACAACCTTTCTAAAGAAAGTATTTCCTGATGAAACAGACAATGTCCTACCGTGGGGGTCCCTTAGAAACCAGCTCTAAGTAGCTGGAACAGACTAACCAGGCCTGTAGCGCCACCGAACTAACGCCATGCACACGGCAGCAGCTATTGCCCTTTCTCAAGTATCTGCGATGCTTTACCTGTGAAGAAGGTGACCACACGGCAGAACGTGAGCTCCGACACGAGACGTGTGAATATCCTGTTTCGAGGCAGGTATCAGACCAGAGACAAGAAAGTTAATTCAAGCACAGTCAAAAACACAGCCACGCACGAATCCAAGAGACGAAAAAAAAAGCAGCTCACCTCCAAACATATTGGACAGTCCTGCCTGGAGACGTTTTCGATACACTTTGCAGAAACAAACAAAAAAAGTTAAGTCTACTGCAGGGATATCTGCGCGTTTCTAAATTTTGAAATTCCTTTAGAATGGTAAGAAAGGATGTATGAAACATTACTGTCTTTAGGTTTGCGGCTTTGAGAATTAACAGGTGGCTCAGCACATTAGAAAACAAACAGCTGGAAAGTATACGTAAGAAAAAAGCTCCCGGAACTCCCCCAGCAGCAAGCAGCCGCGCTTTTCCTATTCCGCAGCAGGATCGGGAGCACAAACTTACACATCGTCAGAGCTGCAATCAACAGACGCTTCTAAAGAAGGAGACCGAGATCTTTATTTCCTAGACCTTCAACTTGCTAGCGAAGCCAGCCCAGAAGCGCTCGGCCTCGCACAGAGCCCAGGCACCACCACCTTTCATTTTCAAGGTGTTTTGTTTGGTGGTTTGTTGTTTTTTTTTTTCCAAGATATGGAGTTAACCGGCGCGTTCTTACCTTGTGCTTTCCTCGAAGACTCAAACTTAGGCACAAATTGCATTTGGAACAGTGGAAAAAATCCTCCTTTGGACCAATCCTGAGGGGAAAAGCGTCAGACCGAGGTCGGTTCCTCCCCACACACACTCTCCTTCCCTCACCCCCCCCCACCCCGCCTCAGGCACCTGCAGATCCCGCACTCGCCGCAGTGGTACTGCTTCTTGTCGCGATCGAAGAGGTGGCAGATGTCGCAATAATACTCCCCGAAGAGGTTGTCGCAGCCCTCGCAGCGCTGCTGGGCCTTACCGCCCCCCCGGGGAGAGGAGAAGGCCGTTAGGTGCGCTAAGGCCCGGCGCCCCACACAACATGGCGCCGCCGCCCACC